CATCTACTATGTTATAATAAATTTGTTTTTACATATTCCATTATTAGTTGATACTAGACATAGAGCTCAAAAATACATTGGAAATTTATGAAGAACATGTTAATCATGTATGAGAGAAGATGAGTTATAGCAAAAAGAATACATGAACAGAAGCCCATCGTAAAAATATGAAGAATTAAAATCTTTAATGGTTCTTTTTCTTGGTTTAATATGATTGATTTGAGGTTTAATGTGGTTTATATGCCATCTACTTTGTTATAATAAGTTTGTGTTTACATATTCCATTTTCAGTTGATAACAGTAGGTACAAAATCATTTTGCATAAGTTTCCATTATCAGTTGGACATCCCTTCTTTTTAACAACTTGGCATTTGATTGCATATGCTATTGTTTTTTCTACCAACACAAGTCTTCAATTGATATGCACCACCATCTTCATTGACCTATCTGCAAAATGTCTTTGGTTTTTGGTAATTTATATATCTCCTTAAAAGCACTTATGACTCATGCAGGTTGGTTGTATCTATAATGTGCATTTACCTATTCTATGTGCATCAAGTTTTCTTGAGAGTTGAGAAAATACATAAGTCACATTGATTTATCTTATAGTGTGCAGCTAGACTAATATTTTGAAGCCTTTTTTGTATCTGTGTCTTCCAGCCTGGCCAAAGCAAGCTATTCTTCATTACACCATCTTTTTCACAAAAAAAAAAACCCATCTTTTACACTACTACTAACTAATATCACACTCTAGTATGGGATGGTCGCTAGTTGCTTTCTTATATTGGTAAAGAATCCCATTAAGATGACACTCTTGGGTGGATCAGTGCAATACCAAGATGGTTGGATATACCATGTTTCAGTACACCCTTGTGTCAACCGGTACAGGTCCATCTGAAGGAGGACAAGGAGGTGGGGGAGGAGGAGGAAGGAGAGTTAGAGAAGGAGGATGTGGTGATGCACATTTCTAGGAAGAGATGGTGATGACGTAGGGAAGAGGTTGAGAGAAAGAGAGAGACAAATAAAAAGAGAAAGACAAACTACATGATTATTGTTAGTATTAAAGGGAATATCAGTATCAAGCGGTAGGCTTACCATCCTGTACTGGTTTGTTTTCTATCCGATAAGCTTGGTACCATAAGCTTACCAAGCGATACAGTTCAACTGAACCAAATTGAGCAAAATTGTCCAGTCCATGTCTCTATTGGTTATCAGATCCATAAATACCGGCTCATCCCAATCAGTATCGGCCAGTATTTTATGCCTTGCTATTTGAGGTCACAATCAAATAAGCTTTGCATATTTAAGATAATCTTTATATCCTCAGTAAAATGCTTTATAAAATTGTTTTTGGACATAAACTCAATCAGCATCTCATGAAACTAATAATACCCATCTGTTTAACTTTTAGGTCAATTTGTTAAATTTAAAGGTTACTGATTAGAGATTATGTCAACCACCTGTTTGGACCCCAATCACAAAATGGCAGTATAAAGTTTATATTGTAAAAAAAAAGTAAAAAATAGTGGAAGGGAAGAACAAGAAAAATTAGACTACTTCTTCTAGAACTTAAATTTAGACTAAGATTAAATTAAACTTAAAGCTAACCTGATTTTACTTTGCTTGAGCTCCTAGTCTGCATTGGATTGCATCATAACTTTGTAAATAGTTGGCTTGAATCATGGGGAACAATGCCTCCAAATATTATGATTGCAATCTCACATGTACATATAGCAAAAACTTATTGACATCATCAAAATTAAACTTATGTTTAATTTGTCTATGGAGTGTGTGAATAAGATAGTTTGTTGTTGGCTAGAATCAATGGTAATTTTTCAAGTAGAAACAACACTAACTCAGACCAACAACAAACTATCTTAAAGTTTAGAGCTGTCTTGAATGTTCTCTCTGGTATCTTCTTTTTAAAGTTTGCAACCAAGGTTGATAAGATTGGGATCGGTTTTGGTCATATGATTTAAAGCAACACTCGTCCACATAACTTGAATTGAACCATGGACCAGTCCCTTTTTAATTGAAATACAGAGAGGTTTAAGTCTAACTACACCAGTCTTTTAGAAGCAGTAGGCATGTCCTCTGGTCATTTGAAGATTTCTTGTACCAGTGGGATCAGACAAATCGATGTAATTGGCTTGATATCAGTTGGGATTAGTAATAAAAGCAGCTGGAGCTGGCTTGATTAATTGGTTGAATGCTAGGATTGGCCAAGATTAAGCATCATGATGGCTATCTCAATGGTGCCTATGATGAGGGGCTGAGAAATATAAAGTACTTGTTGCGTATCCATATCTGATAATATTTTAAGTCAATATTCTGATAACACATGAATTATTTAAGACCTACATGCATTTTGGCTTGTGAGTTAGATTTTCTTTCGTCCATTATCTCTCCGACTACTTATGACTGAGAGCGATGCATTATTTTGCCCAAAATAAATATCAGATGACAGGTATTGAAGGCTTTGGCATGAAAATAGGTTTACAATCAGAAGTTATAATGAGCTCTTGTGACATCTGATAGAACCAAATATATGAAGGCTTCAGCATGAAACTAGGTATACATCAGAAGTTCTAATGAGGTCTTGTGACATCTTATAGCACTAAATATCTGAAAGCTTCAGCATGAAACTAGAGCATTGTTAGGCCTACTATTTGTAGTTACACAACCTCATTTATCAGCGCAATATAATGCTAAAACCCATTACCGTTGAGAGTAACATGACTTTGAAACCTTGTCAAGTTTGTTTGGAACTCTCTTTTATTTTCCATCTCTGCTTTACATGTTGATATATTAAATTAGATCTCACTGCATTTCTGTACTTTGAGATGTGCACAACTAAATGATCAGATGATCATCCATTTTACAAATTCCCTCCTTTTTCTTTTCTTTTATTTTTTTGTCTGTGCTGTATGGGTTTTAGAATCTAATGCTTCTTTTTTATCCTTTTAGGTTATCAGCTACTACAATTATGGTTATTCCTCCTCCAGTTAGGCCACCAAGGATCATCATGTACCTTAAGCCATATGTGCTCAGGATGCATTTCTCTAACAAATATGTCAGCACCCAGGTCGTCCACACCCCTACAGCTACTGTTGCTGCCTCAGCAAGCTCAAAGGAAAAGTTGCTGAGGCCGGTCATGGAGTCCACACGAGATGTTGCAGCAGCTAGCAAGATTGGGAAGATTCTTGGCGAGCGTCTGCTACTTAAGGGTATCCCTGCTGTTTCTGTGTTCTTGAAGAGGGAACAGAAATACCATGGAAAGGTCAAGGCTGTCATAGATTCCGTCCGAGATGCTGGTGTGAAGCTGCTTTGATGTCTATTCCTGAGTATATCCCAGGAGTATTTCCGCTTTATGATGCTACTTTCCATTGGGGCATTGCACTGGAACAGTCTGCCATGAGATTTGTCATTCAATTGCAATTGCTCTTCTGAAGATGGGGATGAAAATGAACTAGAGCGATTTTATGACCATGAGTAGTTCATTAGCTCACTTGGAAATGATTCTCTTTAGAGCTGGACTGCTAAGAACAATGTGTTCTTTAACTAGTTCCTGAGTTGAATATCAGATGTCACTGTAAAATAACAAAGTATTTAAAAGTTATCCTGTCATTTGGTTTTTGATATGATTAAGCCTTTTCAATTTCTGCTATCAACATTTTGGTTTAATGAGTTCTAGAATCATCATATGTTCCTTTTGGCCAATTTTTGGTGGTGTATGACAACAACCTGGAGGCTAATTTCATGAGAGCTTTTATCATGAAGCATATTATAATCTGAATTAATACGAAAGACAATTTGTGCTGCTGCTTTCTTGATGTTTCGGCATCTCACGACACAGCCTAACAAGACGCCATACACCTCTGAAGACGGACTACGACACCCAATAATGTCAACCCTGGAAACATCTTTCTCACCACATCCCATATATTCTTAGCAGCGTTTCCTACGCACTTCGCTTCGGAAGTGCACGTAAACACCCGACAGTAATCAACAAAAGTGATGTATATATCATATCATAATTGGCGTAATAATAATTTGCCCCCATCAAGAGAGTTGGATGGCGTGGGGAAGACGATGGAACCTTCACAATCATGCAGTGAAGATGAAGAACTCGGTGCGATGTGTCAGCCACCGGAAGGAATCCATTCCCTTTATTCTCGTGGAAGCCATACTTATTCCCTGTTTACTAAGGTGTTTTGCTCGCCAAGGACATTGGATTCTTAACACATACGGACTGTGACTGTGCCCGTGAATCCATTCCATTGTGAGGTGCTCCAACACTGTTCCAATTTAAACCAAGTCGATGAAGGGAATTTGGACGTGAGCACAAAAGTATATTTGGTATTCATACAAAAAAAATATATTATATATTTTTTATTGTAATGGGTAACAGAGGAAAACTTTTCGAGATTTAAAATTATGATCTTACGATCAACTGTTAAAGTTTTTATATAATGATTTTTTTAAATTAGAACATGGTAGTTTAACTTTCCTTTATTTCTTATTTATTTTTTCAATTATGTCATTTATTTTAACTCATAGAGAAAAGCAAAAAAGTTTAACACGTGTCACGATAAACTTGCTGTCTTCTCTTCTGGTGAAGCCGAGCATCAGATCCCATCCCTCTCATCACGTGATGCTACATGCTAACTCGTACGACCACTGGCCCCCACCTCCCGGCCACATCTCTCCTTTCTCCCCCTTTCCCTCGTACTCGCCCACGAACTTAACCATTGGTCCTCAACCCGTGCCTAGCTGACACGTAATCTGCAGATGACGCGTCTTCGTTCCATAAGTTATACTGTCAATAGCGTGTTTCCTGCAATCCACAGGAACAAACCCACGAACCAGCCGATCTTATCCAGTACGGTGGTCTCTTCCTCACGCCACGTCATTATCCTGATCTAAATCGACGGTGCAGATCGGTCTATCGCCTTGACGCAGTCTCTCTATAAATGCCCCTCTCCTCTTCGACTAGAGATCTATTATCGGCGGGGCTGCTCACCACTGAGCTCTCCTCAGGGGCAGTTCCGTGATTTCGGGGGCGGATTATGGGCCTTCTCGACAAGCTCTGGGACGACACCCTCGCCGGGCCTCGCCCCGAGACCGGCCTCGGCCGCCTCCGGAAGCACTCCTCCTTCGGCTTTCGCTCCAATTCCGGCGGCAAAGGTCTCGCCTCCTCTTTCTTTGGTTCTTCCTACTCTTGGACTTGATCTCAGATCCGAGGCGTCCCTTCATGCGTTGCCTTTGGTTCGACGGTTTTGATGGTCATCATGTGGTGCCGCAGCAGAGGGAGCGGCGGCGGGCCGAGGGATCGCCGGATCGGATACCGGCGGCGGCGACGAGGTCGCAGTGCGGGTGACACGGAGCATCATGATCAAGAGGCCGGCCGGGTGCCCGTCCCCGGGGAATGCCACACCGCCGGCTTCGCCCGCGGGATCTACGCCCCCCATCTCCCCCTTTTCCGGTGAGGGTTTCGTGTCTTCATCAGGGTAATCTGGAGGGCATTTTGGATAATCCGGAATATATTCTCTCGATTTTACTTATTTGTCCCTTGCTTGTGTCCCGACGTAGTCATCCTTGCAAGGTTAATTAGGGTATTTAATCATCAAGAAGTAACATATATTACTAACAACCTTGAATCAATCTTAATTTGTCGTGAGGAGCTAATTATAAATTGCTTTCTATAATTAGCTACTTTTAGCATCTCAGTTTTTGTACTTTTAAAAATTATACTAGGATCAATGAAAGTTAAACGATAATTTCACAAAATTAAAAAAATCAAAAAAATATTTTATTAAAATTAAATATTTTAATTTTATAAGAATAAAGATCTTAATGTAACTTTTGAAAGTATAATGATTGAAATATTAAAGATAATTAATTATAGGGGATAATATGTAATTGATCCATTATAAAGAGTTTGGAGCTTCAGGGTATATGTGGATCATCTCGACCTTCTCATACAAGAATAATAATCCAAAACTAATAAGTGTTGAATTGTTAGGAGCAGATTGATGATAAGATTGCATATGTTTGAATATATCTACCTCTAGTGTACCAATTTTTAACAATGTTCAGTGGCCTCACACATGAGAGAGTTGTGATGACACATGTTGCTTGTTTAATGCTCTCTGGACATGATGACGTATGTTCGTTTTCTTGTCTTGGTGCCATCCGACATGCATTTTAGAATTATTTACTGCTTAATGATGTAACATCTCGTATTGTTATAAGCACGATTAGATTACGTGAAGATATAGTGAATCTAGCTAAATATTATTAGCATATTAGGGTTGACCGAGTACTTTCCTGGTGTTAATAACCAGGAGGCAGGGAGTGGAACAGATTTAAGAGGAAATCACCATTTGATGCTTATGAAAGAGTGGGACGAGGAGAAGGAGGAGGAATGGTGGGTGTCGGAACACAGGATGCTGCTGCTCCTCATGAGGTTTGAGCTGTGCTGAGCTCCCTCTTCTCTCCTGTGTTCTTATTAGATTACTAACCTTCTCCAGGAGAAAGAGAGATGCATGTCAAGGTCAGGGTTTCTTTCTTTGATGTCCTACCTATTTTGTTGATGCTTGTAGAATTCTAGGTGTGTGGAGGGGGTGAGAGTCCATAGAGGAGCTCTCTTTAAGTGTAGGGTTGGGGAGGCTGTTTGCTCCTTTGTTGTTAGTGCCACTTGTTATGTTATGATGTCTTTTGCATGTTAATCACTGGTGAATGCATTTTCTGGATTATATATATATATATATATATATATATATATATATATATATTGCTTATATGATTTATATTGGATCAGAACATCCATGAAGCATAGTGCAAATTCTCTTTCAATTTCTCATGAGAGAGATCCTAATGATGTAAGGTTATTCAATTATTTGTAAGTTCCAGGTCTAAAACTGTACAAAGATGAAATGTGGAGATCTTGTCAGTTAGGTGGACTGGGGGGCACCTATTCGAATAAAGACTTAGCACCTGGCAGTGAGACTTCTGGTTTAGGGAATCTTAATGTTACTTATAAAGCAAGCATCATGAGAAAAGGGAGGACCAACGCAAGTGCATTTGATTAAGACATTTCTCTGCATCTCAATGCAACTTTGTCTGTGTTACTTATTTTCAAAGCATAATTTTTTTTGTTGCTGATTGGTTATTCTATTTCCAAGTAGTAATTTGCTGCTGATTGACTATTCTATACCAACAAGTGAGCCATTGGTTACATAACTACTTATGCAAATTTTTCTAGTACTCTTTGTTCCATGTAATATTCAGTTTAGGTAATGTTTGAAGTCTTGATGAATCTAAATACTAATTTGTTGGACTATGTTAATGCTTGTGCATATGTTTGCAAGATGTTAGATAATGTTTACATGTTTGTTTATGTATGAAGACCAAGAAAGATGCTTCTTATCCCATTCTTTCAAGTGAATATAAAAATGAATCAATCGTTGTACTATTTCATCTAATTTAGGTAATGATAGTATTCAGAAGGACGTACATGATAGGTAGATTTGTTCTTAAACAAAGACCCACTTGGTTGATTTATTTTATTCATTTGATCATTGCAAAATTGTACCACTATTGTATTATAGTATTCCCTCAACTCTAATGTGGCACTCAACTGGTAATTGATATGTTTTTAATGTCTGATGACACATAATGACGCATGAAGATGATTCTACTCTCATGATCTATATGGATGAGATAATTGATCCATTAATTTATATTAAATTATTAATTTAAAATATTTATATTTAAAATAATAATAATAATAATACACCTATCAATCCCTTATAATATAATTAATTTTTTTTTAATCTTATTTCGAATGTGGGATTAGGCTAAGGTGTTGAGGTCTCTTATTTTCTATCGAATTTTCTCATCATTCTTAATACTAATTCGATTCTGATATCATTTATCATGACTCGTGTTGATAAAATAATTAAACTAATTAACTTCTTGAGCTTAAATCACTAACTCAACTAACTTAATAATAATATACTCATCAAATTCTTATAATTAAAATTTTAAATTTCAAATAAATTATGATAAACACCTGATTAGGAGAACATTGTTCTTCTAAGAAATCATGAAGTACAAAGGGATCAAATATCTAAGGGATGTTAGCTTCGTTGCTTGCCACAATAAGCCGCTGTTGTTGCGATTCTTGATATGATTCCCCTGATAGATTGGAGGCTTCAGAATTCATGTAGATCATGTACATGATTAGCTGAGATGTTCCTAGGATTAATCCAATGCCATTTGGTATCTGCATGTTTAAACAAATTGTCAAATTTCAGCAAAATTCAAAATCCATTTATTTTTTTTATTAATGCATCACCACATAGTAATGATACTAATAAACAAAAAACAACAATTTACTATTATTTTCTATCATTAGAATCACTTATAAAAATAAAAACTAAACATATGAAACATGTATGTATGTATGTATGTATGTAATTATGAATAATTAGGTATAGTTATTATAAAGAATAAAATAAGATAAAACATTATAATATATTCTATTTAGACAAATTAAGTTGATTAAATTAATGTGTTATGAGAGGTAAGGAAAACTAATATAATTTTATTAAAATAACAAAAAGTTAATTTAAATACTCTCAAGGGATATTGTTCTTTGTGTTGGAAAAAGATTCAGTGGCAACATTGACATATAGGGATCTTGTTTTGTTGCATTATTATTCTTATTTCTCTCACATATAGTGATTTTCTCATGCTTAATTTTATACCAATTTAGATTTGATTCTTTCTACTTCCACTCATGTGGATTAGAGGCATTGCACACATCCTCTATGTATACTTGTACTACCAAAATAAGCTTGTAATAAGAGAATTTATACAAGGATAAGATGATCAAAGACAGCAAAGAGGAACATACCCCAATAAAGATATCCTTATCAAGTATTGCATAGAGTGTCCAAATTCCACCATTTAGGAAGAGAAAGAACGAAAGAAGGAATGGCATATACTCCACACTCCTCCTTGTGATCACACTTCTCTGCTTGTATTTGGAAAATACAAGTCCATAGAAAGTTAGTGCTTTAATGTAATCAAGACAAATGTAAGATACCACTGCCAATGTAAGTTTAGTTATTGTGTAATCTGACATCTTAATTAACTATGTCTAAAATAATTGTCAATGAAACATGAAGCTATTTCCATTTTCTTGGTACTGTTATCACTAAAATATATCTATAAGCAAATTAGAGTGCACAATTACAGGAAAAACTTGGATTCTAAATAAAAAAAAACCTACATAATAAAAAAGGTTTCCTAATGAAGATTTCAATCAATACACAAATTTTAAAAGCTTGATTTATTAGGAAAAATTCAATATATTTATGCATATCGAATTAACGATAATGCAAACTAAAAAGATGAAATTATCTTTAGCCTTTGAGGATATTTTGCATGGACTATAAATTCATATTATCCATCATATTTAACTCTATAAATTGATATAAAAATGGGAAAAGAAAAAAACAAGTGATAGAGACCAACTCTAAACGAATAATAGTGGCCACGAAAAGGGAGATAAATTAAAAAAGACCTCAATTTAGATGAACTAATTACCAAATTGCAATGAATTCCATGTATGCATTCATCATTTAATCTTAATCTTTGTTGTTCGACTAATCTTTCTCCTCTTTCGCGTGCTCTATATGATCGGGTGTTTCATGTCAAACTCTACGGCACAACAACAAGACGACACAGACACGCAACATCATGCTGTGCCTTCAAGGAACCAAACAACGACCTCATCAGCAACCCCCCTCCCCCTCTTCCACAGCTTCTATAAAAGCTTAGAAACCATTAAAGAAGGACGACAGCAAACGATGATCACGTAACGTGTCTTGATTCCAGGAAAAGAAGTCATATGCAATGAGTTGGTGCAACTTGTAAGCTACACTCACTAACAAAACAAAAAAGCTGTTTCTACTTGTCACAAGCAAACGACCAATCCATGGTTAAGATGAGCTTTCTCGCCACCTTCGTTTGATAGAAGCGACCTTTGAATCTTGATCATCCACATTTAGATTATAGCCAATAATTTATTCTCATTTTAGCATGTGCAACATGTCATGTCGAAAGTCAACTATCCAGCAGATGGGAATCCTATATGCTTATATAAATATATTCTAATCTTCAACTTGAATCTAATGAATACCTCAGTTGACCTGTCGACCCTCTAATCCAAGTATTCAAGAAGAGTTCAAGTAACATTGGAAGAAGTAATCTTACCATTGCACAGAGGGGCGATCCATACATGAGCACATTGAGAAAGGCACACACGAATCCTATCACCACCACCCTCGAGCTCCCATGGACAGCCAACCTCGTCACCAGAGCCACAGCTCCAAAGAATCCAACATCCAGCGCGGCAACCAAAACAGCCGTCTTAGCCTTCGATCACACCCAAGAGTTCATGATCATAAGCTTACAAAAGCTAGCATGTCGATCTGAGCAACCACAAGCACTTGCGTACCTTCAGCGGTGGAGCAGCATACAGCAGAAAAAGGGCGACGTAAACTGCTTCCATGACGACGCCGACGCCGTTGACGGTGACGATGAGGAGTCCCCCGGGCTTGGTGATGCCGTAGTAGACCCATAAGGAGGAGTTGAGGAGGGTGATGACGTAGGGAGACGGCTCGAAGTCTTCGGTTGATCGATTCCTCACTATCCTCCGAAATGTATTGCTGTTTGTATGAGAATACAGTGTCCGTTCACGAATGCAATCATATGGAGATATAACATGGAGTTGCATCCAAGCAAAGAGACCAGCATGACTTACATGGGAGAAGCAAAGACCAGAACTGAGATAACATTGCCTACCAACGATACAGACCAGCAGTTAATCACATGAAGAGATCTGAAACGAAAGTGAGAAATAGATCGAACAGCTACAGCTCACCAACTATTCCTACGAACAGCAGCGAGGCCTCCATTGCTGGTGAAGGATGTGCGAGGAGAAGGGTGAGAGACAGGAAGAAGATGGAGAGAAGCGTCGACAAATGGAGTACGTATATAAATAAGCGTGGACAAACCCCAAGTTTCGCCACGTTTGAGCCAATAGGCTCTCCACAGTGTGTGAAAGCACTGTTCATGCTTACCTTTCTATATTATTTAAAAAATATTTTCTGATATAAAAATATATTTTGTAATCCGATCCGTAGAATGCAATAACATTGATCTACAAGAGAATTACTCTCCTTCTTTTCTTTTTTTATATTTTATAGGACTACCGTGAGTTGTAAAAAAAAAATAAAGAGAGATTAGAAGAGATTAGAACTGATTTGTACTATTGTGTTGTTATCGTATATTTTCGTATTGAGTTCATTCGAGTTCTTATCTATCTTATGTAAATAAATAAATAAATATATATATATATATATATATATATATATATAATCGATAACCATAATTAAATTTTAATTAGATATATAATATATCTTACATAATTAAGTAGAGTCACATAATATGATATTCTCTCACCTAGCCCATTAATTAATAAGATATAAAAAAAAATTAAAATTAAAATAAATAAAAAAACTATTTTAAGATAATTTTACTTAATTGAATCTTAAAAAATTTGAAAAGTATTTTATATATAACCATAAATTTTTTAAAAGAAGTCAATAAGTTCAATAAGTATAATAATATTTTATTAAACTTAACTATCAATATGAGTCATGGTGCTTTGTATATCATTAATATTTACTTATTCTATATATCATAACACTATTAGTCTTTCTTAATATAGCCCATAATGACTCTTATAGTTTGTACAATCAATTCAACTATAAATAATATGATAAATATAACTAATATGATACTATGATAGAAATAAATATAAATAATATGATAGAAATAAATAACTTTAATTAAGTAAATAAAAAAAATTAATAATAAGATCCATTTAAACATACATTATTATATCTTTTATGAGTTGCTCGTAAGTCTTAGTTCTTTAAACTCTTTAAGTTATAAAGTTTTAGTAAACAAATTAGCAATCATCAAAATAGTGCTAGATTCTCAATTGACACTTGTTATTTCTGTTTTTTTTTATCATCAAGTACTTTATTTTATTCTTAGGTTATTTTATTGTCTACCCAGTATTTTAATTATACATTTAATATATAGTCTCGTACAGGTTTAAACATATAATAGACTTTCAACAATGCCTAAATAAGGAATATCATTTATTTGATTTTTTTTCCAAATATTCTTACGACATTAGTTTTGATTGAATTTTTCACCTTTGATAATAGGTATATTATTAGTTGAATAAAGTTATATACTAAATCCCTCCAAAATTTGATTAATATTTTTTTTTTTTCTGAGGTAGTCCTAGTAATATTTGAGATCTATCTCTAAATATCTCAATACCAATAATATAAGCTACCTCATTCATATCAGCTATTTTAAAATTTTTAATAAGAAGTATCTTTATTTTATGTAATAAACTAATATTACTACTAGCAAATAAAATATCATCCAAATATCAGACCAATATAATAAACTTACCCCTATCGAGCTTCATATATAATATATATATTGATCCAAGGATTGCGTTATTGACACATACTTCTCGGTACGAGTAGCACATATTAATCGAGAGGATGTCGATATGTAGACTACCCTTTACCGGGGCAATACCAATATGCTTTTTTCGCTTTGAAGGTTATCTCTAGGTCAGCTTCTATTCTTGAGCGTCTTTTAGTGGTAACTCAAGTATAAGTCTTACAACTCGAGGAGCTATTCCTCCTGAGACAGGTCCACCAATGATGACATCAATCTGCCTTTTCATCAAACCCTAAGGTAGGAGTGAGAGTTCCCAATGCTTTCAGACAAAATGCTTGGGGTGTCCTCGTTATATGAGCTCTTTAATTTGTTTATTCAAATCATGATAATCTTTAATGTTGTGGCTATAATCTTAATGGAACTGAGAATACTTGGATCTATCTCTTTTCGTTAATAAGATCTTATTATGTGAGGATCCCTTGAGAGTATCTTTTCCTTTATCTACAATGAAACTTCAATTCTAGTCATCTTTAGATGAGTTAACTTAGACCTTTAGCAAGGTAACTTAGGTTATTTATTTATCCTCCACTGCGATGAGCTTGAGGTCGAGGTTGATTGTGGCTACTTCTGTTTCAGCCTCTTACGTGACTCCTTATGTTTGCCTGAGACCATTACCTTGATGATGATGTATTAATTAATCATTTGAAGTACCTTAGGTATAATCACTAGTAGTCTTTCTATCAAAGACCAAAAAAGATAAGAGGGCCCGAGCCTCATCATAAAGATTTATATTATGAGTGATAAATGAGTATCTACAACACATTGGATTTCATTGATAAATCATGCGATGAAGTCTATAGACATTTCTTCCTCCACCTCCCCTTGCCTAAGTCCGAGGAGTGTTGTCGCTAAAGGCAAAGGGCATATATTTCTAAGAAAGTGAAGTTTAAACTCTCTAGCTAGCTAGGCGCAAGAGTAGATGAATAATAACTTCAAATGAGCATACCATTCTCATGCTGAATCTTTTAACATGGTCAAAAATGTGCAACACATCAGAATATTTGAAATGTAATATAATAATATTTGAGCACGAAAAATTATAATGTACTTCATCAGATTGGTACTAATATTGAACGCTTCCAAGAATGGGAGATAAAAGTTTAATAGTATCGATTCCTCTTGGATTTTTGAAGTGAATGATGATCGACTCAGATGGGTCAAACAACACTTTCTCTTTTGACTATTAGAGCTCTCACTATATCTCCTCCGAATGATAGTTCATTTGCCAAAGTTGGATTCATAGAGAATCCTCCGTTGAGTCTACTGACTAGGCCTTAGATTTAGATAGGATAGACTGAAGGTGGGTGCGGTTCACTAAATTACATGGTTGGGGATTAAAGTACTTCGATGATGGTTCAATAGGCCTCGAGAGCTCTTGGGATGTTATTATCGTGTCAAGGTAGGGAATCTTGATAGGTGCCAATGGCGATGGAGCCGAGACTATGACTAAGTTGGTGGCATCGTTTGTTGGACCAATTAAGACAATAGTAGAATGACGACCTATATTATGCCTATTAATAGTTGTACTTATTAAGTGAGATTTAAGAACATTTTAAGGGAGACGAGTAAGTGGCTTAGGGTCGTCCTTAAGGGTGAGAGACTAGGGTTATTGAAGAAGCACCAGTATCATATCAATGTTTATATCGAGGTGGATGCACTGATGTGCCAAAAGGGTGGCTATTGGCCCCCTTGGGTGAGAGCACTACAAGTAGGGGGCAAAACCTCTTCGCTCAAGCATTCATTGAGGGGAATAAGTGGGTGTTCTTACGATATCAGACTCTCATAATACAAAAAATGTTACAATAAGATGTCGTTGACATCTTGACCAGCCCGATATGTTCCAAACTGTGTGTAAGGTTATCTAAGCTACGATCGAGGTAGAAACACTGAGCCCTTGAGGTGTCACTTGTATGAAGATCAAGATCGATAAAAGGTTTCCGAACCCGATCTTTTTAATGCTCAAGTTAGTAATATAAGGTGGGTGAGTGTAGTCATAAGTGATAAAAAAAAAATAATCTCTCGTAACATTGAAAATTAGCTCTTATCCATGATAGTGAATAACTAAAATATTCTATGAAATATTCTTTGAGGAGAGCAATATTTAATCATCTTTAACAATCTCAATTTGACTTTTTATCCACTTATGCAACAAAGGTGGAGACAACCTATAATTGCTTGGACAGATGAAGGATACATAATGATTGATAATGTCCTCCCTATTAAGTATAATAATAATTTATTATAAATATTTATCTAAATCATAATTATATATGCATATAATTTTAATTAGGAACTTGATAATGTCCCTCTTTTTTTTTTCTGTTTGTGACATGATATTTTTGTTTAAGATCTTTGAGTTTACATGAAAATTATTAAACATCCTAAAACAGAGAAATAATAGAACGTAATAATAGAAATAACAAAAAATATAAAATAAGTCATTATATCAATTATTTAGAGTAGACTATATGAACTTTCTTATATTGATATTTTTTTCTCACACCAACTTGTTTTATGTTTTCCCCTGCATTGTGCAAAAATCAAATCTACACAAATCGTAATGCTTGATATTTCCCTTACCTAAGATCACCTTACGTCCTTTAACTGATGACACCTTACGTAAGAGTAGGCTCCTCTGCCACCAACACGTGTATTTACCTGTTTGTTCATTGGTCTGATCTTAGCCCGGTCTTCGTTGCATTTCATAACGGCCGTTACCGTCCTTGCCGATTTTTATGATTCTTAACGTTACATGTACATTATGACGCCCGTTATCTTCTACATTTCAGCTTTATTATGCTTGCCGTTCCGTCCCGCTTCATCTGCACGCGACACCGCGCCGCTGCCCTCTCCCTCTCTGCCCGCACTCCAACATAGCCTTCCTCGTCTTTCACCGCGTTCCGTTGCTTGTCGTTCGATCTTTCTGCCCTTCACACCATGTTCAAAAAGTGAGCTTCCCCATTAAACCCAAAATTTCGTCAATGGTGTCTATAAATTTCTTTTCTCTTCAAGAATCTGTTGTTTCTTTTTGAGTGGGATCAGGCATCGCTAATCGTGGTGTTACATGTTTCTATCGATCTGCTATGGGTTTTGTTTCTCTTGGTGCCATGAATGCTTGTGATTTTAGGGTTTCCTCCGCCGACGTTTAGGCTCAATTACTTGTCGTGCTGCAGCCGTAAGGCGTTGGGATGTCTGCCAATTTGATTTCTTGGTTGGTAAGCCTTTCATCTTTATATATGGGACGTAGGAGTGTAGGCTTTGTTGATGGGAGGAAAATTGTTTGGTTAGTGGCCTATAATCATAATTATTAACGCAGCTGATGAGTTCTGTGAGGTAGGAAAGTAATGCTGTAACAAAGAGGAGTAGGCCAAACCATCTCTGGGGTCAGGGATCTTTTGAAACGTACATAGGAGAAACAAGATTAAGGGGGATTGATTTCTCTGCATCATAACCGTGGTATTGCTGGGCCCTTCCTCAAATTTAGAATGCAGAACATCCAAGGAATCTGTGGCTTGGTCGATTGTTTTATTGGATTTGTTAACTGAGAATGCTGAGCATGCATGGAATGTGATGATTGGTCCATGATTTTAGTAGCTCTGATTGTTAAGTGAATTTAGTCTTGGACTTTTATGCATTACTTCTTTGTGGAGACTTTTATTGAGTTGCAAACAATTTTGCTATCTGTGAAAGAACTAAAGAAATGCAGGTTCATGTATCAATATTCATGTAGATCAAGGGAAGGAGAGATTATTAGAGTTATTAAGTGACTGAAAGCTTATAGCTATTAAACAGTTCGATTCAACATCATGAACTTGGACTAGCTTGTCGCTGATTGAGGTATATACTTTAAGAGTTAAAAGCAGGTGCTCGATTAAAATTCTATAATAATCTGCAATGTGGAGACAAGCTCTTTGCTCTTCATAACTTGCACAATCATGTATTGGTTCAGGGTCTAACTTGGATGAAATAATAAATAATTTTAGGGCACCTTTAAGAACGTAATGTTGAGAATGTTCCCAAGTTTAGGCCTTTTCTAAAACGGATAGTAGATAAACCTATCATAACAGCACAGACTGAAGTGAAGTGTTAGCATGAAGTCTTATGGTCTTGAAAGCTTGACAATAATCATGGCCAAGATTTGCGATTTCGAATCATACCACCCTTACGGGTGGTACGTACTGGTCCACCTGTGAATCGGTCCACGTAGCGGGCGGTCCACTTAATATAGCGGCCTGGCTGTGGCGAGGCTAAGGGAGAATCATCGAAGAAAGAAGAAGAAGAAGAAGGAGAGGGTGTTCAAAGAAGAGGGAGAACTGGGAGAACCTCGGCGTGAACTTGTTTCCATGCCCTTTCTTGATCCCGATCTGGTGTCACCCTCCCTCGACGATCCCGATCTAGGAGGTAACAACTAGGACAGTCGTAAAGAGGAGGATTTGGAGGCACGGGGATCAAGGGAGGTGGTGGCTAGATCAGCGAAAGAGGCAGCCTCCTTCATTGCCTCATCTGCGACTCTGTGGCCTTCTTCTTCGTCGAAGGCTGGAGACGTTTGCGACCTTCATTATGTTCTTCGCCGAAAGCGAGAGATGTCTACAACCTTTGACGTCTTCGTCGCCTTTTTCGCCAAATGCCGCAGACGAGGTGACGAGGAGAAGAGGAGGCGACATCGCCTAGGTTGCATACGCCTTTTTTTAAAAATATTTTATATTTTTATATATTGATTTATATATTTTTTATACAAAAATTATATATAAATATAGGCGTACCGCTCGGTACAATGTACCGAGCAAAGCTCGATACACCGGTATGATACGAAATTTCAAATCTTGATCAAGGTTTTAACAATGCTAGATGATTGCAGATAGAGAGTTCTAATATTGTCACAAGGCTAGATATCTAGCTTGACCACATTAATAAACAAGTATCTTGATAAATAAGAACCATGCTAGAGGGAGACTAAAGCATGGGTTTCTTACTTCAAGTAAATTTGCCATCTGGGAGTAAGTACTATTATTAAGGGAGTCTCACGGCCCATGGGATATGGCTGCTTGTTCCATGGTCCAATGTGTTATCATTTTTGTTATCCTGCTTCCACTGCCCCTTTTTGACTTTATTGGAGGTTAGAATCCCCAATATTTGAATTGGGAGTAGAACAAGCCTACTGTAGACCATCTATATTATAGTAGGGGTGTAAATGGACCAGAAATGGATAAGAACAATAGTGATATCCACCTTTAATCAGTGCACACAAATGCAGATACAGATAGTCAGTGGGGTGGATGAAGACCATCTATGGATTATATGATGGTTACTGATGCATGTTGATCATTGCACAAATGCAAACACAAAATATATTTTGGATATGAATTTAAATGTTCCAAAATGGATATTGATTTTGATGGATGCTGAAGGAAATTAGATATAATCAACATGCATATGAAGTCAAGTTACTGGACTATTACTAAAACACATTTCGATTTTCATATACATATAAAATAAATTTTAAAAATCTGAAAAAGCTATGCAATCAAGTGATTGGAATATTACTAAGTGACATTCTGTGAATTGCATACATATTAAGTAAATTCAAATAAACTGAAAAAAAAGCAACAATCAGCATACAACAAAGAAAAAGATTTGGTAGTTGGATTGGCTTAAAAAGTCAATTGAAGCATGAACAAGTAGGTTGCTTATACACTTTTTATTTTTTCTTATTACTAGGTGTCATACTAGTGTAATAGATTGATTAACATTAGTTCATATATATTTGGACATCCAAATCTGAATCCAAATGTTTTCCAGATATATAAATCCTGATCCAAATTTCAATCTGAGCCGATAGCTATGTAGTATCCATGTGATCCAGGTTATTTTGGATTCAATTGAACATTATGTCATCAGTTTTCAAATGAATTGTGCATTGAAGTTTTGTTAAGGCTACAATTCTTTCAAATATAATTTTTTTCCTTTTTTTTGGTGAGGACTAATGGAGCATTACTGCTATAGGCTTGAACCTATTTAGCACTCTTTGTGAGGTTTCTTTGGGCAGTTCTTTTGGTTTAATAGAGGTATAATAGTTGGATAATATTTAGGAGAGATAGTAGAGGATTTAGAAGCTAAATTTGGCTATGGAATCATTTTAATGAATAGATTCTTGATATGCCATGCTCTATATTTCAACCTTCCTTGACCTTTCCTCTGATCTTTAGAAAAGGACCCCTGGGAATCTTGCTTGAGATGTACTTTTATATATGGAATACTTAGCCATACATTTCCAGATAGAGCTATCATATTGAATACAATCTATGAGATAATAATGGTATGGGCTAAGGTACATGGTACACCACTATGATTGATTTTTTTATTTATAAAAAAGTTGATTATTTTTTAATTATGAATCACTTTGGTAACTTGCTATATCAGGTAAGATATTTCAATCTTACTAAGTGTCAACCGTGCATTTAATTGGTTAAAAAACAATGGTGGTTGAAGAGCTGAAAGCTATAAACTCATTGTTCTTTTAAGGGTGCTCTTGTTTTTTGCTTTTCTTGAATGGATTTCAGAGTATGTATGCCATTTCATTTTATTTATCTTTTGCTTATAATCTCTATAAAACTAAATTTATGCTTATTTTTAGTTAAGAAATTCATGTTTATTGAATCATATATTGCTGACTGAAATAGCATTGTTACTCCAATCTCCAAATGTTTTGAAGATTCTCCTTTGAGGATATATCTGCACAAAACCAAGTGAAGGCATCCGTACAAAGGAAGATTCGTCAAAGCATTGCTGATGAGGTTTGCAGTTTTCTGTTGTATTGAAGCTTCTCCAATATGTTTCCTTTTTCTGCAGTGCAACTATTATATACCATGTTCTTTGGTGGTATTATATATCTCCTTGTTCTTTGTTATAATTTTATCTGATATTCTTACTCCATTGACAGTACCCTGGTTTTGAACCTTTATTAGATGACATACTGCCAAAAAAGGCACCACTGATTGTTGCAAAATGGTTAGTATAATATTTTTGCTTATACATTATTTTAATGCTTGATGATGTCAAGAGAAAGGATCATGTATAGTTCTACTTGTTGCTATACTATTGCATCTATATCATGTCTTGCTACTTAAGCTGACTTAGATAATTATACTTATCATTGATTTCCATTTACTTGTATTATCATTTTAGCTAATTGCTTCACATTAACATATGCCTTGTTTTTGTTTGGCTAACATTGAAACATCTTTAAGGTTGTTCTATCCAAGGTTTGCCATTTCAGATATCGGATCTGTCTTGGAGATTTGTCAAGCTGGTATGTACCAATCCGTACTGATGTACTGACACATGGTATACCAAGTGTCGATGTTTAGGAGAGAAAGAAACAGAGGGAGAAGAGGAAGGGATGGTGGAGGAAGGAGGAAGAAAGAGGAAGCGGTGGAGGATGAACGAGGAGGAAGAGGAGAAGAGACATACCAAAGAAGTGATTAGGGCAAATATCTTGCATGGTGGTGTGCGATGTGGTCGCAGCAAGCGGAGGTTGTCAATAGCTACCTGTGTGAGAAGCAGCGATTGTAGCATCAGTTGCATGGCAGTGTGCAATGTCGATTGTGGCAAGTGGAGGTTGTGGTGGTGAGAAGTTGCAGGCTTGCAACACCAATCATGTGAGAAGTGGAGGCGATGCGGAAGTGGGATTTAGGGTTTTCCACTTTCCCTTTTATATGGACCGGACCGGGTTGGGTTCGCATATCAGTCAGCGCTTGGACTGATATGTGCTGCCCGTTTTGTATCAGTCCGGGCGAAACGGAAGACTCTGGTTCTATCTTTATGCAATCCCTAAAAGATTGCGGCTGCAAAGAAGGTTTTACTATCTAGGCAAAGAGGAAGACTTAAATATGAAAATCTGTAGGAATGTTTTGTAGTGCAGAATGAATATCTAAATTTCAAATTTTTCCAGTGATTCAGGTAATTTGGCAAACACTTGTTGTTTAAGAATTACAACAAGCACTGGGAATTTAAAATATAGGAAGAAAAAGCAGTTTCAAGCAACCAAGCATGAAAAAGGAAAAAGAAGATTCATGAACTGTATAAAATAGGACATAATCTAGTCTGTTTTTCTTTATCTTAAGTTATCTTAACATGGCCGCTTTACCAACTCCAACTGGACTCCTAATCCATATCTCAAAAATTCAATACAAAAATAATAAAGAAAATTCGTTAGAGAATACTATTATGAAGCAAACATAAATCAGAGTTTCTTGTTGGAATAGCTCATGCCAAAGTCGATGCATTGATTTCCACTTTATCCTTTTACAACGGATCTTGTTCTTAATAGTGGCTCTCTCTGCCTTGAATATTTGTGTTGTCCGTATATTGGATTTTACATGGATTGGGTCTTTTGACTTTGATATTTTTCTAATTTAGTTTGTATTTCAGAAAACTTCTGTGTTCACTGTTAGAAGTAAAAGAGTTCCCCTTTTTAATACTGTTCTCTCGCTTGTCAACTTCGTTATATTATCATTTTTAAACATTGACTGTTTTGATTATTAAAATGAACTTCTTTATTTGATGAAAGTTATGACTATTTTTGTCTAAATATGCATGCTACCTTATTGCTGATCGCGAATCATTTGGAGTTCTAAACTAAATTCAAGTGCGCTAGTGCATTCCCTTATCATTCCTTTCCTTTTCTTCATCTAGTCAGAATCATCTCAATCTTGTGCTGGTGAATAGTGTACCACTTTTTTTCAACATTCGTGATGGACCTTATATGCCAACATTGAGGCTTCTTCATCAATGTAATGTATCACTTGTACCATTTTACTTTTCAAGTTTTGCAGCTTAGTTTTTGGTCCCTGGGTATATTAAGTAAAGAACATTCCTGTTGCATGAATGTTTTAGCTAATTATAAAATCATCTAACTTGGATCCATATATCCTTTATCTTGTTAAATATGGCTAGTCAAATACCAATCTTCTAATTTGTATTTATTATGGAATCCACAATGTTCCATTATGAACCATGGACACTTCAAAGTACTTGTTTGTATGTCCATGTTGGACCATCTTTTTTATTGGATAATTGAAAAGTATATAAGAACAGGTCTATCTTTTTCACATATTTATTTCCATGTATAGCAATTTTGTAAAACTTGATATTATCTGCTGTTTGGTATATCAAAATTTTGACATATTGTTCATGTGGCTCCAACTATTTGATATCACCTCTATGGATCTTTTCTTGCCATCTAACTTTGTCTAGGAGTTATGACAACAATACTAGTCAAACTAGGAGTCATCAAATCTCTTTTTATCATTTCTTAGGAAGTTTCTCTTGCACCGCTATTCTGATTGACACGCCTTTCTTGACTGATACATCTATAGATATCTATGAACACATTGGTACAATCCTAAACAAGTTTCTCTCATTTTATACTCAAATAGAAGTTAGAACTATCCTTGATTCTTCTCAAATGTGGTCATTCCATATTCTATCTTTTCTGGTAGCCTTATACATCTATTTCAATATCCTCATCTTAGTGACACTAACTTTCATATGCATTGTTTCAAAGCTACCCAATATTATGATTATGAATTTATTTACTTTATTTATGGATTTAATTATTTTGCAATGATTTTCTATTTATGTAAATAATTATTCTTCTTCTTTGAAGTTACATGTATGACAATTATAAAATTGTATAAATTGTTATAATTGCATCTTCATGTATAAAACTTAGCAATATGTAAAAGATACATATCTATAAATGTCATGTCCTATTCTACAAAGATTTTTCATGTTAGCATGTTTATTTCTGCCCTTATCCTGTGCCCAAGGGTGTTACTAGGATAGATCCATTCATGATCAGAATCTATCAAGGAATGCAGAATCCACATCCAGATTCAAGCCTAATAATTATCTAAGTGGGTTCAGAGTTTGGATTGGTTATCGGATATAAGCTTACTACCATTATGGATTGAGAAATCATACCTGATCCGATTACTCAATGCCTCCAGTTCTAGGACCCAAACCCACTTTATTGGGTTAAACTTAAGTCAGATAAGCAGGTAATTGTGGTCCACTGATGTTCTACCATGTTCATGTCCATGGTTCATAGATGCCACACCATCCCCGATAGTATGTGATCCTGCAGAAGTTGAAAAAGAGTGCGTCTCATGTATCATTTCTATCTAAACATGGTATTATAACTGCATAATTATTGTTTTTCTTCTTTTGCTCTTGAAATTTTACTCTTTTCAGATCCACACATAATGAAGAAGTTTCAAGTAGATAGAGGTGCTATCAAATTCGTCCTGTCAGGTGCAAACATAATGTGTCCTGGTCTCACATCCCCTGGTGGTGCATTGGATGAGGAAGTATTGGAGGAAACCCCTGTGGTACTCTCTCATCTAGCATGGTCATATTTATCTCAGTATAAATAATAAGAATTAAAACTTATTCAGTAGGGCCAGCATTGAGATGGCTGGTGGTCCTACGATTTGTCTAATTGTAAATCTTGACCAAGTTCTACTATTTGTCTACTTGAAAATTCTGTTATTACCATTGACTATAGTGCTTGCGGTCATATCTTATGTACCATAGAACTATTGCCATGGTCTAGAGGCATGCGATGTCACTGTTCTTTATCATGTCTGTGCATGCTGGTGTGGACCATTCTGTGCCTGTGCACAGTAGACAACATGCCTCAAAATTGCATTCATAGGTCCATACGTATGACCATGACATATGAATGCATAATGTTGAACAATATGGTTGTCATCCCTTGCCAGCCTGTGACTGGCATGGGATCAGCATTGGAGTACTTACTGTCCTTAATTACATGGGTACCAACTTTACTAATTCCGCACATTAGTGAGTAGTCATGTACAAATGGAAAATTGGAAGTGATTGTGCAGAAAAATAGACAGCAGTATTTGAGAATACATCTTAGATTAAATGCACTTTCTATGGACCAATCTTCACTGCAAACTATGATCTGATTTAGTATCTGGTTTTTTTAGCTTGATATTTAGTTGTTTAAGTTTTCTTTTCAGGCAATAATGGCTGAAGGAAAGCAACATGCATTGGCTATTGGGTATACAAAATTGTCAGCAAAAGACATGTGAGTTTTCTTGTGTTTTTCCTGTTGCTTTCAGTGGTAGAAACTATATGGTAGGAAATTACACCTTTGCGAACTGCTAAATCCTCATCTCAATAGTGTGTCTGTCTCTCTTGAACCTTTTATTTGTAACACCAAATCTCCATTGGAAGTTGTAAAATCCATGCAGATTGATTGTTAGTCATACTAAGGGGTAAAATTGGAAATTGAAATATCTGTTTCACGTGGTAAAGATGATTTTAGTTGCTATTATGGCATCTATATATATGGTTGAAACAAATCACCTTAGATTTGTATCCCAGAACATTAAAATGTTCCTAGTAGACCAGAAATTAAGTGATTGGTTTCTTCTGAGTGTACCAAAGGCAGCAGATTGTTATCTTATATGCAAATGTCTTGCTTTCTTATAGATCGCAGAGCAGTATTAATTGGTAGAAACCGATCACTTTGGAGTTGTGTTCAAGGCCTTTTTTTGAAAGGAAAATATTATTAAAGACTAACCTGGGGTTATAAACTGAGTTACACGAGGGTCAGTAGAAGACCAAAACAATGGAAAGCTTATAGTTCTCCCAAAATTGGCAAGCCAATGGGCCACGTCATTTGTGACCTTGGAAACATGGACCACATAGAGAAATAGTAGCAAAATTCATAGAGAAAGATCTAAAACCAATCACTTAATAATTGTGGATGTGAACATCAATGTCTTATCTGTTATTTTTTTTTATCAATTATTACACCTTATTTGTGAGTTCAGAGTTCAGAAAAAATGCAGTAGTGGCAATAGTCGTTAAAAAGCTGAAACCATTCAATCTAGATTTGTCATCAATGCCATTGAAAGGCATTGCCAATATTTTCCGGCTTAATGGCATGTGTAATTAGATTTTCTGCAGAAATTCAGTCGGTCAGCAAGTGAGCATTAATGCCACCATGCAAAGCAGTCAAAACCTAACTTTCAAAATCTGTGGTCTTTGCTTGTTCTATTTTGTAGCATGTAATGTTAGGATGTGATTATTTGCTGTTGGTGCAGAAAGACTATCAACAAGGGTATTGCAGTTGATAATATGCACTATCTGAATGATGGCCTTTGGAAGGTGTGCTTTCTTCTTTTCTTTTCTTTTCTTTTGTTGAAATAAAAAACATTTAAAAAGTTTCATGCTTTGTCTTCCTATACAAGATCTTATTCTTTTGCATATTATGTTGTTTTCTTCATGTAGATATATGAGATACTTATTCTTCCATCATAGTCTGTTAGTGAAAATTTAGGGAATGTAGCTCTTCCTTAGGAAATTTGGCTGTCTTTGATGCACTGGACTTGCACTTTTGCTTCTGTCTAAGAGACACCATTATCTACATTTATCTACAAGTTCACCTCGATCAAGCCTGTCAACCAAAAAACTAGTTGCATCTTCTGTATAACAATACCTGCATACATTATTGTTTGTAAAGCTTATGGGTCTGCATCAGCTGTGTTATCAAATGCTAAGTAATAAAACATGCAGAATGATGCTTGTAATAATTAATCTATATTTCTGTGCATTTGATTTGAGAAAAGATTATATATAGCATTAGATGTTGAGTTTTATTTCAATCATTGACAAGAATCTGCTTGTATATCTAATTATTAAGATTCTCTTATGTGCCCTAATTTTCCTTGTTGTTACAGATGGAACGTTTGGAATGAAGGAAATGACTCGAATTATGTTTCCAGTCACAAAAATCCAGGCAAACTTTTTATTCTAGCTTGTAACTTTCTCCCCCAATAGCCAAAGTAATCAATCACTTCATCAAATCTAAATAGTGTACATTGTAGAAGCAACTTGCAGCTCTAAAGGGAGGGAGGGAGGGAGGGTGTTGGAAGCTACTTGTAGCAGCTTAGTACTAGAGAGTGTTTTGAATATATTAGTCAATCATTAGCATGTAACTTTTTATAAGACCGAATTGTAGATTTATTGTCACTTTTATTTCTAGTATTTGGAGACATGCACCTAAAATAATTTTCTTTGTAGCCTTTGGTCTGGCTGATCTTGGCTAACCGAGAGTGGGGATAGAGCTTTTCTTTATTTATACTTAATAGAGTTGAATGTAATAATAATCCATGATGGCTCTTTTAATCTTATAGCAATCACATCTAACATCGCTACCAAATCTGTCCACGGCGTTGCAAATTTTGAGAGTAACAAAAAGATATTTATGAAATTAATTTTCATAGTTTCACTAATTTACAAATGAAAAATCATAAATTATTACAATATTTTGTACGGTGCCCAAATCATCGAGTCAAAATTAACATCGGATAGCGAATGGTGGAATTGTTAAAATATTAAACTAAATTTTATGTTAAATAAATATTCAGATTTGAGAAGATTGGTGAAGAGTACCCGTCATCCTATCCAACGGATTAAATCTCACCATCGTACTGTAAATACCCAATCTCTGCTAATGAGCAAGGCAAACACCGTCTCGAAGAAAAACGATGCTTTGGGAGCCGGAGCGCTAAAACCCTACGCGCTAGGAGGGAGAAGCAGCGAGCGGTCATGGTGATCAAATTCGATACCCTCATCTCGACTCAATTGCCTGAAATTCTTCCCTCTTCTCTCGTTCGGGATCCCTCCACGTCCTTGGTTCGATTCAGGGAATCGATCTCGTCGCCGGCGGCCGGAGCAAGAAGGCGAGAGGCACGGCCCCGATGTCCGACGATGTCTACCTCATGCTCCTCGTCAAGGTCACATCGCTCTTAGTGTTCGTCTTTGGTTGATCTGAGCCCCCCCTCTCTCTCTCTCTCTCTCTCTCTCTCTCTCTCTCTCACGCACACACATAGACACAGAGATTCTCACATCAGATCTGAAATTGAACTGGTGGATTGGTTTGTGTTCTTTGTTGGATCAGCTCTCCAGGTTCTTAGTGCGAAGGACGGGAAGCAAGTTCGATGCGGTGATAACTGAAGAGGCTTTTCATGAGCAAGATCAATAGGCCGCCAATCTCCCTCAAGAGGCTCGTCACTTTCATGAATGGAAAGGTTGGGCCTTTCCTATTTGTTGCTTTTCTCTCTAGATTTTGTGGGATTCAGGTGGATGTTGTGATTGGAACCCTCCTAATTCATTTGATTTGGACCAGGACGATAAGATTGCTGATTGCTGTGGTTGTTGGGACGGTGACTGATGATGAGAGGGTCTATGAGGCTCCGGCGCTGAAGGTGACGGCTTTGAGGTTCATGGAGACCGCAAGGGGCTAGGATTCTGAAGGCTGGCGGGGAATGCTTGACTTTTGATCAGCTTGCTCTTCGAGCTCCAATTGGGCAAAACACGGTATATACATAGCACTTACCTCCTTCTATTGCCTTCATTTCTCAAATCATTCTATTGGCTTCTCTAAAATCCGAGTGGTTTTGATGATTTTTTATGTGCATAGGTGTAACTGAACTAGTATCTACTGAATTATAAGAGAAATTGTTTTCTGCTTATGGTTACTCTGTTGGAGACCAAGATGACCAATCTATAATTGCATGGGAGGACAACTGTGTGGGGTAGCTGTTGGATGATCATGGTATTATTGCAAATCAGTTTATTCATATCAAAATGTAGCATGACCAGACAAGTGTTTACAAAGTTGATATGCTATATATTACCAAAATATAACATGATCATCCACGAATAATGTAGTATCAATATATGGCATGGTCATCAACATTACATTGAGCCTATCCTCCACATGGACTAAAGCAAGGAATGATTGATTCTGAGACAGGAGCGTGAAATTGAAATATATATGCAGGGGGGCAGGGAGGTAAACTGAGCATGAGAAAATGAGATAGATAGAGAGAGAGAGAGAGAGAGAGATCACAGGGGTACAGTGTAGGTCAATGAGACAGTGAGTGATGAGTTTGTGGACTATCATCATTTTCTAGCTACAAAGAAGGATTGAGATACAAAGTCCAAAATTCCTTTTATCTGGGCACTAATTATTTCTTAAAAGTCCAAAAACAAGTTAACTTGTTCACTCAAGTTTTTAACATATTTGTATGGCCTGATAATTTTAAATTTTAGGTTAACCTCTTTAACCGAAACATATGGATCTGTTGGTTAAAGAGACCATTAGGTCTGAATATCTGCTATGTGCATAGTGTAGAGTCTGCTAATGCTAAAAACAGCATAAGTGAACCCAAATCTTTGTCAAAATCTTTGTCACTGTTCTATATTCAATATATACCATTATTGAGGCTGCTTTGACCATTACTTAGAGCAATGTTAAAAGTAAACAATTCCATCATGCTCATTCTGATAAAATCAATCTTGAATCCCCTTGTTTTATGCTCCATTCAGCATGGTTTCTGACTTTCATATTCTTTAAAAGGAAACTCTCTGTTTTGGTTCCTTGAAAGCAAAACATTGCAACAGGAAAGGAGTTTTGTTTGCTGAAGGAACAATATCTGGAACTAGAACTGCACCGGTTGCAAAATCCAGATCTCACACTCTGTTTTCAGTGTTTTGTTTTAATTTTTAAAATTATGAAAACTATAAAGTTTTCTCTGATAAGTTGTAAATGCTTTTGACAGAACACAAAAAAATCTTAAACGAACATGTTTAATTCTCGGTTTTGGAGATTTGTTCAGAAAATAAAAATGATGCTAGGGATTACTTTTGTTTCTGATAACTTCTGGAAAAGGGAGATAAAAAATGGTTATTAAATGGTATAGAAGTGTTCTGAAAATCCTCTCTTGTTTATCCTCTCAGTTTGGTGGCTTCAATTTGTTATTCAAAGTCATTGATTAAAGATTTTCTCCTAGAGACACCATGTCCTGCTCATGTTCTTTTCACACTTGAGGTTGAACATCAGGCTTATAGTTGCATTTAGTTAGATGTTTCTTATGAATATAGCAGCTTATTTTTCATCATATATGAACATAATGGAATAGTTTGACTATTAACTACCTAATCATGAATCTAGTTTTAGATTGTGTAATCTTATCGACCTGTTATTAGGTGCAAAACTTGATGCTATCATATTCATTGCTGTTCAGACCATTTCTTATTTGTGCTCCAGTCAAATGTCTATTGTGTGTGAATGTGCTTTTGAAAATTATATTTAGTTATGATTTTCTGATGAATTGTTGCTTACCTCATTGTTGAAATTTGTTAACCTTAGCATTATGCAAATTACTTCTCTTTCCTCATTGTGCGACCAGTATATGTACCTGACATGTAAAATTATGTAAAGCAAATATGGAAAAGAATAGCTTGATTGTGTTTCTCGGAATTTAGTTTAATGTTATATACAGGTACTCACTCCTTCGGGGTCCAAAGAATGCTAGGGAAGCTTTGAAACACTTTGGTAAGGCACCAGGAGTTCCACAGGATTTCGGGTTTAAGTGAGGTCATCTCGTTCATGTTACTTCTTGGTCATTACTAAATGCTGCTGTTGTAGCATTAAGGGTTTACTATTATCATCAGAGTAGACATTTTGTTTGAACAAGTACCATTCTAAGAAGCCTGATAATTTTAGCTGTTAACTAATTTTGGTCCAAGGCATCACATTTATTTGATCTGCCATTTGAATCCAGATGGTTCTGTATACATTTAGCTCAGTGAGTTTTCCAACAACGCTGCACGAGGATGAACATCACCGTGCCGAACCTTAATCAATGTGCCTCGGTAAGCCAGCAGACTTCGTGATTCTTTATATAGCTGCATCTATTCAACGGTGATGAACAAATATTTCTTTATATAGCTGCTGCCATCTTCACATGCAACTCCTTTTCTTTTCTGTTGTTGGAGTAAAGCTGGCATATTAGAATTTTTATTGATGGTCAAAATGGCTGTAGAGCATAAAGCAGGCAGAAAGTTATAGCTTGCATTTAATGCTTGATAGCTTATATATCTAAGTAATCGGACTACTGAACAATTACCTGCTTTTATAATAATAGAATTTGTAAATACAAGCAGCAAAACAGCTTGATCGAAATTGCCAATATATGATTTATGATATAGGATGAGTGATAGATTTTTGATTTTCTATAAAGAGGTAGAGAGAAAAGAAAAGAGATAATAATAGAATGATAATTGAAAAAAAAAGAAGGATAACTATTAGGACAATGGCATCATACCATCGGAAATATAATTATGATTTTGTACCGCTCATCTATAAATAGAAAAAGAACATGATACATGCATTATAATGTTCTACTCTTTTTATATACTTAAGTACAAGAATAAAAAAAATATATAAAATAAAAAAATTACAATCATATCAAATCAAATATGTGATCTATTTATTCCCAAGATATATTCTTGACTTGATTTGAAAGATAATTTTTCTTTGTTTGACAACATTATTAATTGATAAACTTTCAAATATGTAGAGATGAATCTTTAAAATCTTGGATCAATAACGAATTTGATTTTCTTCACTCTTTTTTTTTCATCTTAAATAAATATTGTCATCTGACACCTTATGACATGCAAGATATCTCTAACTAATAAAATTTATTTAAATAATATATAAACTAAATTGCTCGAGAACTCATCCTGAGTTCATAGCTAAACCAAAAGAAAACACAGATAATAAAAAATATATAAATCTAATGTAGAAGACTAATGTAGGACTTTGATGATAATGAGATAAAGAGAGAAAAAAATAATAATAAAAAAAGATAACTACTATACTCGCTTTGGCATAAGAAGTAAACTCCAAGACCTTACACCTTCGCATGTATCAGAAAAAAATTATGATTCATCTCTAATTCATGTCTTAAAATATTCTAACCTCTTTTTATAGACTTAGGTATAAGAATAAAAAATATTAAAAAATATAATCGTATAAAATCAAATATATATAATCTGTTCCTTATTTTGAAGAAAATAATATTCTTGACTTCAAGAATAATTTTTCTTTATTCGATGATAATATTAATCCATAGACTTCAATATTTATAGAGATGAATCCTTATAATCTTCCATCAAGATTTACAATTTTCAGTCAATGATGAATTTAATTTTTTTTACTCTTTTCTACATTTGATTTTTTCATTTTGAATAAATACTATCATTTGATATCAAATAACATATAAA